CTGGTCAAATATCTGAAGTGTCCCGATTGATAAGTGTTATAACAATCACAGTTATAGCTTCTGAAGTTTATACTACACCAACTATAGCAAACCAATAATAAATACAGTTTTTAGGCGCGTCGCCTTGATTATATTTATAGGCGTGTGGGGAGTTTCTCGAAACTTCCGTTTACATATACTGACGCTAACACTAGCGTTTACGTACACACATATGTTGTTGATTCTTACACTCGAGAATCTTCTACAACTTTAGAGAATAGGCGGAAGTTTCGCAATACAGATTTAACAGTATAAGTTATGAACATTTTTAAATATAAATTAATTTAAACAAACATCCATATCAAAATATATAACAGTAAATCCGTCACACTGTCTACCTCTCAGAAATATAACATGTCAAATTAATTCTTAGAGCCATTGTAACCAAGTCACTGTCAACCTCTCAGAAATAGAAATGTAAAATTGAATCTTGTATATTGTAGCCAAGTCACTGTCACCCTCTCATAAATAAAACATGTCATATTGACTATTGTATATTTTAACATTCATTCTTTGTGACCATATTAATATTGTTTCAGAACACATTTATATAAATCTTACATCTTAATAGTCTGTATGCAAGTAACGTTAATAATAGTCGAAGATGCTCTCTTACCATTTCTCCTATTTCCAAATAAAAAACTTCATGCGTGAGGGCGTAGCTGTCGTATCCCCGTGACGTCATTAGATTCCAACACCGTTGAGATATATCACATGGTTTTGGGTAAGGTCCCCTGGGAGAGTAAGAACAGGAGAAAAGTAATTATTTACCTGTTAAAATACAAAAAAATAAATAAAAATAATAATACAGAAATGTTTATACCATTATGCAAGTTACAGAATGTGGTGTGCAACAATGCTCCAAATATTGTTGCGTTGTATCAATAGTTTTCCACTTTATAGTTAATACGTATGCCAGCAGTACTTTAACGAATACGAATAATGCGCGCGCGCGCACGCACACACAGACGTGTATGTGTTTATTACTCACACACCCAGATCACAAAACTGAACTAAAAGTACATGAAAAGTGAGAATTTTGGACGATTAAATATGTGAATCTGATTTAAAGGTATATGTGACTATCTGCAAGAAAGCCATCTCATGGCCTGATCGCTTTTGCTAATTGTGGTCGTTCGTAGGCGTAAGTAAACACATTCGGATGATGCTCATATAGCTTAGTGTAGATGGCGTATCTTAAACAACTGGGTCTTACGATAGAGAAAATAATTGTTTAGATGGACATTCATAATTTCAATTTGCTAAAGCAGAGAGTATGCAACTGGCTTTTTCAAAGAAAACAAACTAAAAAGCTTTTTAATGGTTGGAGACGGCTTGAATTGGTAATGAAGAAAAACTTTAATATAAGTTTAACATAACAGCAAATATACAACGTTTCGACAACGTTTTGTCATCATCATTTGTTGTTATGTTAAACTTATATTAACGTTTTTCTTCATTACCAATTCAAGCCGTTTCCAACCGTTATTAGTCTCAAAGTGGGTTCCTCGTCATCGAATTAAAAAAGCTTTTTGTTACAATCAATTTGCATATAAGGAATTTACAACACAGACACACTCTACTTATATATATAGTTAATAGATAGTTCAATATCACAAATACATTATGATTAATGGTAATAAGTAAATGGAAAGAATGCCGTAAGCTGTTAGTTTGTATACAATTAAAAGACACATAGTGGACTTTATACATCCTAATTATCAAAGTACTACTTATTTAGTATGTCCCCAGTAGATCAGCGGACGTTAAAATCTGTTGATCGATTCTCCATGGTGGACAGAGCGCAGATAGCCTACTGTTTAGCCTTGCATTAAAACAAATAAAACATGTATATATATGTAACAAGCGTAAAAAAATGTAAAATAAAGAAATTGAAAAGTAGGAATGGGAGAAACAAAAAGTAAGGAAACAAGGAAAGAATGGGTGGGGAAACATTACAGCATTTGGTGACACAGTGCGACCGCAAAGTAGGTGTAGCCATCATTCCACCCAATCCTACTTTGTGTGCTTTTGACAACTTGGTAATTGTTCAAACTAAATGAAAGGTGTATATAGCTAACGAAATGCATGGCAACATAAGAGGGGTGTTTGATGTCGGAAGTGAGACAGGAAGCTCCAATAGTTATACTTTGCTAAATGGAGACATTATGGCTTTCTGACTGGTAAGGAGTGGGCCAAAAGAATAGTATCAAATCTGCTGATTTTTTAATTTTTAATTTGTTGAGTATTTAAAATACAAAGGACTAGAAACTGATAAATTTCAATTTAAATCTATAATTGGATAAAAATTTAAAGTAAAAAACGAAGTAAGAATGGGCGAAACTTTGAGGTTGGACCATGTCAAAAACAACCAAGTGTTGTAATGTTATCCTGGCCATTTCTACCCTGTTTTCTTACTTTTTGTTACTCCCATTTGTGGCATGGCTTTTTTTTTTGGTACTAAGTCTCAAGAGTGATTGGGTTCTAGGCCTTTTCTTCGAGCTATCTCTCGACACTTCCTAGCTTTTGCTGATATCTTTGCTATAGTTTTTGTTCCATCTAGCTAGGGTGGCAGCCTTTTCTTTGGCTGGATTAATGGCTAAGGCTTGTTTCGCATATTTAACATTACTGTTTCTGACTTTATCTCTATTTTTGCAGTAATACTCTCTTTGCTGGGACAGGCTTTTCAAGGTTATCAACTTAAGATTTTAGTTAGAATCTAGACCTAGATAATCTACGTAGTTCACGTTTATTTATCTAACTGATACAGCTGCAGGCTGATCATGTAGCACGTGCGCATAAGCCATTGTGCACCAACACGTGATATGGAAGAGGATTGTTACTTGGCAACTCAGAGAGTGTGTTTGTAATCATAGAATATGGCTACTAGTGTATTGTTAGCTCGTTAGTACTGTTTAAAAATGATTATTGGTATTCCTTGTTACTACCAAGATTATAAGTGAAACTAAGAAAAACGCTTTTAGCCAAGGTAGCATAATTCAATCATGTGCACTTAGTATAATTGATACTTGATCAGTCTGTACTTGATGCCTTTACTGGCGAAACCATGGTCATGAATAAACGAAGTATTTGTGAAACGTACAATTGCCTTTGTTTTTTTATTTCAAATCTGCAATGTGCACTTAGATTTACATAATGTGAAGACAGAAGAGAGCTATGCCTTTCCAACAACGTTAGTCCGTCAGTCAGATAGCCAAATTGACAAACTTGTGGTTTTGTTAAATTTTATTTTTACTCTAGCGACTTTCTCAAGTGCTTTGGTGGCTTGTTACTCTGCAATTGGTTTATTTACTACTCAACAGTATGTACTTATAAAGTTTTGTTTACATGCTGTTTGCAGTGTGCTTTAGATTTTAATTTATATTGCACATCTGGCCCATTCCTACTATAAGTACTACCGCATTTATGACAATATTGTTAGTAATAACGTAGCGAAAAGCGTTACGTACCCATGCCTTGTTTCGATGAGCTACACCGAAATGCTCAGTAACTGAATGAACTTCATGTTTTTCACCATCATTTCATAATGGTTGATTATGCAGGACTGTCCAGTAAAGTAATATGTCCATGTTTTGAACATGATTTAAATTCACCACTCATAAATGTTCAGTACCTTAAGAGGATCATATTATAAACTAGCTGGAGTATCCTTTCCCTGGACGGATGTTATATAAATTCGTGATTAATTTAAGACATGAAAAGTTGCTTCCCTTATAGGTTATTGTAAAATTACTCAAAAGGGCCCATAAAAACTGCAAAACACCAAATTTGAAACTGCAACTGTGCATGTATCTCCGCATGGACCCATCAAATCTTCATGCCAAATTTGGTGAAGATCCGTCAACAGGGAGCAAAGTAGTGGTAAAACCGCAAAGACGCCCATAAAAAACCACAAAACGCAAAATGCAAAACTGAAAATTTGTAAGTATCTTCTCATGGACCCAACAAACTTCCATACCGATTTTGGTGAAGATCCATTTACACTCTGGGATGTAGTTACACGGACATACAACAGACAGTACTGTTATATTAATAAGGATATAATTTAAAGTCATAATGCAGAAATGCTCAGTAGCTTAATATATGTACATAATTTGACTGTCATTGACTTAATTTTTTCCTTTTTTTGCCTATCAGTTAATGATTATTTATGCAGAAATGTTCAGTAACTTAGCACTACCATGTTTTGAGCATTATTTAGCAGAGTATCATATATAATTTTTAGTAACATCATTTTAATGGTACATTATACAAAACACTATATTTAAATAAAATATTATAAAAACTCAGTGTTGTGAAATGAACAGTTAGAAGCTATTAACTGAAAAAAAGGTATGTTAATATGGAACCAAAAACAAAAATATTTAAATTGCAAGTAATAGAACTATATATATTGGTTTGTTAGAAAGTTTTTATGACAAAAACAAATCACTAAAGAAATGTGGAGAAGTGGTAAATGTGGTAACAAGTCACTTGATGCACTTCTCCATATTACTTGGAGCGAGCGCGTTACGTCCATTACCATCAAAAATAAATATAAAGAAAATCAAACTTCACACTTTGAAGTCGTGAGTGTGTTGAAAGAGTGACAGGTGAATCACATTATTTGGTCTGACAAGAGTAGCCCATGAGTTGGTGGTAGGTGGTATTGATTAGCCAACGTCCCCTAGTCTATCACTTCAAAATTAGCTAGCACGGCAAGCTCTCGTGTTGCTTTGCGTGAAATTAAAAAAATAAACTAAATTCACACTTTAAGAGAACATTTAAAGAACACCTAGAAACACGTAAAGTTTTGAGATGTGAAATGCAAAAATACGCAATCGTCGAACTAAGACTAATAATTTAAAAAAAGTTTTATAAAGTCAAGTATGGAACTACATATACGTAACCTAGCTAGCTATAATAATACAGAAAGTTTTAATACTAAAGAAAATATTGAAACATAAAATTCAAAACTACAAAAACTGAATTACTTAAAATGTAAAATATTGTATCCCTACTTTGGCAGATCACTGTAATTATCTAATCACTGTAATTATGTTAGTCTGAGCCAAAGTACTTTAAGTAACTCAGTTTTTGTAGTTTTGACTTTCTTGTTTCAATACTTTTTCTAGCATTAAAACTTTCTATATTACTATAGCTAGCTAGGTTATGTATATATCCATCCATACTTGTCTTTATTAAATGTAATTTTTATAATTATACTTGTTTGTTTCCTTTCTATTAGCTTTTTTTTTTATGTGCCACGGCAATACCAAGCGTGGGGCGCGCGTATGCCAGATTGAATTTTACTACTTATCAGGATCTGTACCAACCTACCATTAAATCTAATTATATATCAGAAGTAGTGCATCCTCCATTATATATATATATATCTTTACACACTATTACTCTTTTCGGTACAAGAAAGAAATCGTTGGGAACCCAGACGGAAGAGTTCCGTGAAAGAATTAGACCGATAAAATTCGTCACTTTTTCTGCACGTTTGTCTGGAAAAGTCACTTACTTACTAAGATGAAAATTCGTTGAAATAGTGAAATAAACACGTATATAGCAATTTTGGCGGCTTTATAAGTACAATAAGCTTTAGTTTTGCTTAGCCAATACTGTGAACTAATCATTGTTAATATTAAAACATATTAAAGGTGGTTTTAAACGGGTGATTTTTATGGCTGCCATTTTGTTTTATCACGATTCCTATTGGTGGTGTAAGAAGGGGTTGCAAAGTAGGGGTGCTTAGCTAGACATGCAGATTTTACAATGAGAAATTAAAAGTACAAGGAGCTGCTAGAAGCAGCTCCCGTGCTGCCAAAAGCAGCTCAATCTAGTGGTATCTTGGGGAATGCCCCAAAAACTTAATATAATAATGTAATTTACAGTTTCTATATAAGTCAAATATGTAAAAGCACCTCGGGTCCGACGCCTCTGATCCCTATTATTATTATGACCTATCGTACTTAATGATAGGTACTACATTTTATCGCATGACTCAGGTTATCCAAATTTCACACTTTTTTCAAGAGAACTACAGACATTATAAACATTATAAAAATGAATACTTACTTGGAGCCTAAAATTTCCTGTAGACACTCATCAGATTCGGTTTCAGTGAGTTTAACAGTCAGAGAAGAGAGAGGAGATTCTTTTAAGTTGGGTCTGATGGACCGTGTAGGATAGTCTAAAGCCCACTGTCCACGTCTCAGTAGCCTTCCTATCTCTGAATAATGTGCCAGATAATTTGACATAACTTATATAAACTCAGACTTCGAAGTTATAAAGGCATAACTGTAACAATTTAAACTGGTAAGTCGTTAATGGTGGATAGAGTTTAATTTATGACTTAAATTAACTTTTCTAATGATAAGAGTTTCATTACGAATACTCAGTGATAATCAAGCTTAACACAAAACTGTAGAGTCACAACAGTAGAAATTGTTGGGGAATAAACGCACTACCTCTAGAATATCATGAACAAACAGGAATTCATGAAATAAAAACTTAACTCTGTTACTAGTAAACTAATAGTAGAACATGTTGACACGTTAACACTGTGGTTGCACAATCAGTAGACCATGTTGCACAACCCGCTCTTACTAGTAAACTAATGGTAGAACATATTGATGCTGTTGTTGTTGTACAACACCCTCTTACTAGTAAACTAATAGTAAAATATGTTAACGCTGTGATTTGCACAACCCGCTATTACTAGTAAACTAATAGTAAAAGATGTTGTCGTTGTGATTTGTACAACCCGCTCTTACTAGTAAACTAATAGTAGAATACGTTGATGCTATGGTTGTACAACCCGCTATTACTAGTAAACTAATAGTAGAATACGTTGACGCTATGGTTGTACAACCCGCTATTACTAGTAAACTAATAGTAGAATACGTTGACGCTATGGTTGTACAACCCGCTATTACTAGTAAACTAATAATAAAATATGTTGACACTGTGGTTTGCATAATCCGCTCTTACTAGTAAGCTAATAGTAGAATACTTTGACGCTATGGTTGTACAACCAGCTATTACTAGTAAACTAATAGTAAAAGATGGTGACGCTGTGGTTTGTACAACCCGCTCTTACTAGTAAACTAATAGTAGAATACGTTGACGCTGTGGTTGTACAACCCGCTCTTACTAGTAAACTAATAAGATAATGACGCTGTGGTTTGCACAACCCGCTCCAGGATCAAGAACACTAGCTTGTTGATTATGCAGCTCTTCCGTCTTGAAGCTAAGCGAATACACAAAGTTAAAGTAGATAGCTTTCCATGATCGTCTATTAGTATTAGCGGTAAAATAGGTTGAAGCATTGTGTATATTCTTTACACGTGTGTCTTAATGTTAGCGGAACCGACTATGTAGTTTGTATATATATATATATATTACTAATGTTTGCGCGCGGATCACTCTTATTCATTTTAAGTATTTTTTGAATGTTATTTCTAAGCATGAATAGACGTAATTTTTGGAAGTGTTTTAATGTTAGCGGAATACTTCTAGTATCAGATGTGACTTGTATACTCATATGTGACCAATGTTTTAAAATGTGAATAGAAGTAATTTAGATAAGTGTTTTAAGTGGTCTTAGGTATACGTTGCAGTACACGTGTTACCGTAGCGCTATATCGGATACACATATATGTATATATAACTTAAGTTATGGATAGTATGCACACCCTATGAATATTAGCTTACACTTCTAGTTTAAGATGTATTAACAATAAACGTTTTACTAACGTTAGCGACTCTTCTAAGTTGAGGTATTGTTTGAACGTTATTGCTCTTTGCTAATATTTCTGATGACTGTGTCGGCTTCAGCCTTATTCATGTTTCTCAACACATTCCAATTTAAATTTAAAACGATGTCCTGATTTACGTTTTTATTAGCTTCTTAAGTACACAGTTTTACCATTAAAATGTCAGTTTCACAGATACCTTATTTGGACTTTTTACTCTGGAAACATTTCGTCCTCCAGTGGCACAGCGGTATGTCTACGGCCTTACAACGCTGGAACCGAGCTTCGATGCCCGTGGTGGGCAGAACACAGACACTCCATTGTGTAGTTTTGTGTTTAATTGCAAACAAACTGGAAACATTTTACCTATAAATTCACTCTTTTTTTGAAAAACGCCCTCTTTGTTGCAATTCTCTTTGTAGTACATTGACAACATCATAATATTTATGGAAAAATACAAGCATTTTAAGAAAACTTTGGGTCATGCTGCAAAACATTTTATTGTACAATAACAACATCCATCAACTCCTCACAATATGACTACCCCATTTTTTTTGTCATAATTCTTAAACTAATTTATTATTAATTCTTTAACCACTTGAATGAAAAAATGTCAGAACAGAAACTTACTTTGAAAATATTCTGGCTGTGACATTCTCACGTAGTTTATGGCACTATCAGCTATATGTTGTGCTCTCTTTTGAAGATTGATAAGTTTATTCCAAATTAGTCGAATGTTACTACTGTAGTCTGGTTTTATAAGCCTTCGAGCAAGCAACACTTGGAGCTGGTCTAAGGCAAAAGTCAAGAAAATTTGTTTGCTTAGATTAGATCACCAGAAGAAGAGACACGATATAAAATATTACACAGAGATATACTTTAACTTTAGGTGTTATTTTTAAATTACCGACAGTAATAATTATACCAAAATAATGCAGATAACACAGGCCTGCGAATTTAAACTTCATAAAAGTTGTTTTGATTTCAATAACGGATTATCTACGCAGACTTCGAAAATAATATTCATTTTTTGTTCTATTACGTAAGGATTTTTTGACAAATCGGGAAGAAAAAACACTTTTATTTAAATAAAATTATTATTTTGTTTACCACAATGAACGTTTTTTATTATTATGTTTTTTTTTGTGAAACCTACGTTTTTTAGTCTCAAACTACGTGTTGTGGTCTTTCTTTTATGTATTACGTTATGGCATTTTTTGAAAAATCTGTACGTGATGGAGAAAAATGGATATCATTTTCGGATTCAGCGTACAGGAATTACTGTAGAACATGTAAAAATTTCAAGACAATTAAAATCTCGCAGGCCTGTGTAATATCCGTTTTAATTCGGAATGTTGTAGTTAAGAACTTTCTTTTGTCAGTCTTTATGAAATATTTACAAATTTTCATTGATTTTCATTTACAGTAGCAGAGCGTAGATTCACACAGGTTAACATTTATTTCCGAGAAATTCTTTAATTGAAACGGAGGGTTCGATTATCCTTAGTATTGGTTTCTATTTTAAAGTTTTTTTCGGTAAGGATTTTGTAACATTGGTAAAAAAAAACAGGACTGATTTATTACACTTGCTTCAAATTAATTGAAACGGAGGGTTCGATTAATCGTTAGCACTAATAGTTATTTTGGAGCTATTTTTAGTAAGGAGTTTAGAAGTGGTAAAAAGAAAAACAGGTCTGATTTATTATACGTGGCTTCCAACTAGAAAGTTCCCCAGTGGCACAGCGGTATGTCTGCGGACTTACAACGCTAGAAACCGGGTTTCGATACCCGTGGTGAGCAGAGCACAGATAGTTTTTGTGTAGCTTTGTGCATAATTAAAAAAAAACAACAAACCAACTAGAAAAAGAAGTCATTCGTACGACAACAATGTTTCTTTTACTATAACTAGTAATATAGAGCTGGAAATACTTTTTGAGAGTTCTCATACCTACGCAATAGGGTATTTGTTTCGTGCCAACCGCAGGTATCGAACTCCACATTTTAGCATATAAACCCTGAAGCTTACGGCTGAGCATCCGATGGGCGATATTTCATCGATATAGATGGTAATACCAATGACTGGAAATACTTCTGTAATATATATATATATACAATACAGCCGAACATCTGTTAGAATCGAGGTATTTTTACGATACATACGGCACTCTGGAATCGTTTCAGTAATATAGACAGTAATCTGGAAAAGTGAAAATGTCATACTGCAGTTTTCATAACTTACCATCCACCATACGTATCCCAATAACTCCGTCAAGATTAAGATGTGACAAGGATCCTTCTATAAAACGTAGTGCCTTCTTTACAGCATTTAGTGTATTAGTAAGCTGTCGATTCTGAACGGACCCAAAGATGGGTACAACGTCCAGAGTAAAGAATAACAAGCCAAGAAACAGTGTGTTCAACCTACAGATTTTGACCATTACAATAGGCATGACTCTCTCAGTTGACCAGGCGTGTCTTTAGTAAATGTTTGCTAGTTTACTTGGTTTGTGGAAGCAAATGTCTGATTTTATTCTTTACCCTCCTCAAACAATCTGTGGGAGCATGACGTCAGCTTGTTTGTGAATGTTAGAGAGGCCTAGACGTTAAAACAGGAGTAGCCTACGCGAGCAACCTTCTTAATTATTTAGCATGTATATCACATTCTACCAAATCTTCATTACTTTCCTTTATCCCACCTGTCTTTTCCATTTCCACTACATCACCAGGATATCAAGCCACAAGAGACCACTAACAAGGCGGCTTATAGCGTGATCGAAAGCCGAGCTATTCATAATATAATCATTACATTAGAAACGTTGGTACTGTAGAAAGCGTGTGTGGAGATTACAAAACCTTGTTCTACGAAAATCACTATTGTAGCTATCCGCTTTATAACCACTCCAGCAAGATGAGTCTACATGCGTTATTTTCTCCGTTCTGTAACTAATCTGGAAAGAGGTATTATGTAGGATATACTACTGCTTTGCATATTAATTGCCTTTCGAGTGAGAGCGTGTGGAATGAGTTGCAAAGCAGGGCGAGCTGTACTGGAAAGCAATGGCACAATAAACATGTCACTTCCTCCAAGAAAACTTTATGCTTTGAAAAAAGACCAGAATGTTACGCTGGACGATAAAGACAGAAAATTTCAAAATATTTACTATATAACTTAAAATCAACTTCTTATTTTCAAGCTATATACTCTTCGTTGCAATTCTTTTTGTAGTGCCCCACAGTGGCACGGCGATATGTCTGCGGACTTACAACGCTAGACTGTTTGTTTGGAATTAAGCACAAAGCTACACAATGGGCTATCTGTGCTCTGCCCACCACGGGTATCGAAACCCGGTTTCTATCATTGTAAGTCTGCAGACATACTGCTGTGCCACTGGAGGGCAACAACGCTAGAAACCGGGTTTCGATACCCGTGGTGGGCAGAGCACAGATAGTCCATTGTGTAGTATTGTGCTTAACTACAAACAAATAATCTTTTTTTTGTACTACATTGACATCATAATATTCATGGAAAAAAATACAAACATTTTAAGAAAACCTTAGGTCATGCTGTAAAACATTTTATTGTGCAATGACATAAAACGTTTATTGATTGGAGTTCTGGTTAATTAAACTGTTAAAGAAATGAATGTCCAAGGAAATAAGCTGATTATTTTTAGTTACTGGGGTAGGGGTAAATAATAGACTGAGAATTAACGAATTCCATCCCAGTATTAAAAAGTTTGTTTCTTTAGTAACAAATTGTTATAATTGCAATTAATGAAGTCGACGTACGCTTGTTTGCATACATCGCTAATTTTATGTACCGAATGCTCCAATGGTTCACAAGTGCTAAGTTATTCCCCCACCCCACCCAAAGGGCTAAGTTGATCAGTGGGCATGTGGTTTAATAACCATCTAATAGGAGGTTATCGTTTAAAAGTATCGGCAGTTGTCTGTAGTGATGGAAAACAAGTTCCATATATTACATACTCGCTCAGATCAGACTTAAAACATGGTTTATTTGCTGTTGGTGACCTATCTTTCTGAGGGCTTGATAAGTAGTGAAAACAAGTTCCATATATTACATACTCGCTTAGATCAGACTTAAAACATGGTTTATTTGCTGTTGGTGACCTATCTTTCTGAGGGCTTGATAAGTAGTTTTTAAAAATAGTTATGTGTTGATGCTTCCATGTTGTAAGTATGCATGCATGTCTGTGTTTATGTATATGTGTGTGTGTGTGTGTGTTTTGGCTCAAAACTACACAGTGGGCTATTTGTGCTCTGTCAACCACGGGGAAATGAACCCCGGATATCACTGATGCAAGTCCTTAAACTTATCGCTGACTCATCGAGGGACATGCATATATTTGTGTGTATTATGTAGTTGTGGTAATTGTAATACGTTTGTTTGTTTGTTTGCAGTTAAGCACAAAGCTACACCATGAGATATCTGTGCTCTGCCCACCACGGGTATCGAAACGCGGTTTCTAGCGTTGTATGTCCGCAGACATACCGCTGTGCCACTTACTAAGTACACTACAGATGCGAGTTTGTGTACATTTTTTTCCTTTCAGTGGCTTTTAATCTATACCGAGTACTACTCTTTTCACCCTTTTCAAGCCCTGCACTCTTTGGCCCTCAATTTTCCCTTTGCTTGGTATTATTATTAAAAACGTAATTCTTATTGTATGTTAACTAATTGGATATAAAACACAGTTTAACATTGGAATATTTATATTATGTTTTTTTAGTTGTTACTTTATTGAAAAAACTAACTGCTAACTCTCCCAGTCAATACAAGTAACACTACCAGGTTTCAAGCTTCCATCTCATTGCTAGGCTGAGAAATCATCAGATATTTAACAACGTAACCACGCCCACCTCCCTCTGAATCTCTCTCTTTTTTTGTGTGTGTTTGTGGCCTGGCGACAACTTGACCTACGTATCGTTGCTTATAGCCAAGAGAAGGCAGATATTGTGAGCAATTCGCATATAGCTGTCGCTTTAGCATTAGTCAAGTTGTGTTTTTTTATGTACAATAATTTACGTATAAAATTTATTTATATAAAACTTACATTGAGTTTATTACTTTCATCAACAAATCTATTTTATAAAACAATACCTAAAACATGTTTCAATGAGTATTGTACTATTATATTGTTCTTATATTGTGTTCTTTACTTTTACTCTCAGTTTAGAAATCAGATTTATGAAAACTTAAAAACAGATTTGAAAAAAAAGCTGTCTTAATTTGTTTCTCGAAGAGTTAAGTTCGGAGCATTGTTATAAGTGGCAAGTGAATTTTTTGAGATATTTGTAATTGAAATAGAATCGTGGGAAATTTTTAGTTTTCGCATAGTATATTCTATAAAATATGTTTTGTATGTTTTAGATTAGATTTTTAAAGCTATACAAGTTATTTTTTCGAGCCTCAACTTCACGAGGAACTGTCAAATACTTAGGCCTAAGAAAAATACTTAGCCAAACTGTTATAAACACTGCTATAAGGATACCACGAGTGACCTGTTCTGTACCGCTTTTGTATTTATGATGCGTTAAACTAGCCTATCTAGATCAAACAACTCTACCTAGAACTAGATCGTGAACAAGGGCCAAATGACTGTTTGTTTGTCTTTGTTTATGGCAAAGCTCTGCCGCCGTCCATAATTTTGAGCTGCCGATAACGGGGAAGGCAATCAGCCAGGAGCACCTACTGCCAACTTTTGGGCTACCCCTTACCAACGAATAGTGGGATTGACCATAGCGTTATAACGTCACCACGGCTGAAAGGATGAGCATGTTCGGTGTCGAGGTTTGATCCCGGACCCACAAATTGCAAGTCGAGCGCCTTGACCACCGGTCAAAGATCAAATAGTACATGAAATAATGTCGCTGTGCTTGAGGGTTTAGTTGCAATTAAAGTTTTCTGGATCATTTGATCTTGGATTCAGTGTTAATACAGAGGAACACGTGCGTCACTTAGTGATTCATAAATTCACCATAGATCTAAGTAAATTCTGTCGTGCAATATGTTATTGTAGCATTCCTATAAACTGTGTAAACAGTTTGTTTTTTGTTATCGTTCCCCGTTAAAAAGAATTTAATGGTGTGTAAAAAAGAGCAAATTTAACTACATACACCAACAAGAGTTAATACGTTCACGGTTTCCAGTTTTCTCTGCAGAAGATCTGGCAAAAGAAAGAAGATAAAAGAACATTCGTTATGAAAGAAACAATTTGCTTCAGGTAGTGTTAATATACAGTGTGATGAAAAGTCCGTTCTTAGTGTGATTTTCCAAGTTATGTCTGTGTTTCATTAAGTGTATATTAGTATTATTGTTACAATTAATACAAATATACACTTAGTTACGATATCACTGACCTTGCAAGAACCCGTGGAAGCGAACCTATTGTGTGTAGATCCTGCGCAACCGTAAACTTACAAAATGTTAAGTCGTAACTTGAACTAAAGAGTGACATCGTGTCATGAGATAAACAGTACACATTTCCAACAACTTGTAAGGGCAGGGATTTGAAAAATCAAGGTGGTAGAGACTTTTACACCACTCTGTACGTAACGTTTTCACTTTGTTAAATGTGGAAATGCTATTAATGCTTGGAGACGGTTTGAATGGGTAATGAAGAAAAACTTTAATATAAGTTTAACATAACAGCAAATGTACAACGTTTCGACAAAGTTTTGTCATCATCAGGTGGAAATGCTATATCAAACCCATGAGATATGAGAAATTATACTTGTATTTGAATATATAAATATAGGTTGGTCAGTGGATATTGTAGTAGTCCTTAATAACGGTTTATGTTAAAAAAAAACACGGAAAAGTTAACATGTCCTTGACTGAAAGGTATAAAGGGCCGGTGCTTAAATCAACTCCTGTTCTAGTGTCACAAATGGAACAGGAGAATGGTGACCACAGGCGCTCAGTTTTCTTTTACGGGTGTGTGTGAAATAACTGAAAGGTATAAAGGGCCGGTGCTTAAATCAACTCCTGTTCTAGTGTCACAAATGGAACAGGAGAATGGTGACCACAGGCGCTCAGTTTTCTTTTACGGGTGTGTGTGAAATAACTGATATGTGAATATTTTATTAGGCCTACATATTATGCATGTTGTACTTTGTCTCGGGGGATGACCCCTCAAGTACTCGGCACTTATGATGGTTTTGTTCATTGAATTTCGCGCAAAGTTCTCGAGAGCTGTCTGCGTCAGTTGTCCCTAATTTAGTGATAAAACTAGAAGAAAGTCAGATATTTAACACCGCCCATCGCTACTCTAATCGCATAGTGGGATTGATCGTCACATTATATCTTACCCATGGTTGAAAGGATGAGTTAGTTCGGGCAGGTAATTCGAATTTGAGACCCGCAAATTGCCAGTTCAGCCTACCCACCAGGATATGTCAGGCCGCCTCTGATGGTAAATAATTTCCCCCCTGAACAGGATGCTAGTCCATTACAGGTTAATTTAATCCCCAGCTACTCGCAAGTAAGATAAAAGTAGGTTATTCATATTTTCAAGCAACATTCAAGGTTTTATATTTAAATACACACATCTTTTGTAATGCGTAGTTTGAAGTTTATAGCTGAAGCTAATGATTAAAATACATAATAACAAAGAACAAGTTTGGTTTGTTTTGAATGTCGCTCAAAGCTACACAATGGCTATCTGCGCAGAGTAGAGGGAAGGTAGCTAGTCATCACCACACACCGCCAAATCTTGGGCTACTCTTTTACCAACGAATAATGGAATTGGCCGTCGCTATTATAACCGACTCCACGACTGAAAGGTAGGAGCATGTTTGGTGGGACGGGGGATTCGAACCAGCGACCTCAGATTGCGAGTCAAGCGCCCTAAACGCCTGGCCATGCCAAAAAAAAACAAAACAAAAAGGTACAGGTAAACTCGAATTTTCCTGCTTTGGATCCTGTTTTCAAATACGAAGCTTCTAATAATTGATAATCTTAGAATGAGAAGACATGCGATGTAATGTTTATTACACCTCAATTACTTATGCATTTTATTGTTAATGTTAGTTTAATGAAGGTCATTATTCATTAAATATTACACTATAATCATAATATATTATAATAACCGGGCTCCATTTAATTCGGTTTTGTAAGAATGATATCCTTTGAAACACTTTTAAACTGTGTTAAGTCATTGGTGTATTTTGCATTAATGTATATGATATCAAGTTATTAAAAACTAATGTGTCTACTTACTCTGAGAAATAATAGCACGAATCGTTGTACATTAATTATAATACAGTAGCGTAGTTAAGCTGGGCTAGCTTAGAATATGTTAAAACCTACTTTGTGCAATGCACAACGAAAATGTAGCAGAATAGAGATAAGCTCAACAGCACAGCCCCCAGCGGCACAGAGGTATGTCTGCGGACTTACAACGCTAGAAACCGGGTTTTAATAACCGTGGTGAGTAGAGCACAGATAGCCCATTGTGTAGCTTTGTGCTTAACTTCAAACCAACTCAATAGGAAAAAAGTTACCTCATCGCTCCAATTTATCCAAAAATTAAATACTTTAATTAGGTGGCACCTTTATTTCATTAATCATTTCCAGATGATCCACACATTAGAAATGGAAATAATTATAGGTAAAGGTACTAGAACACAACCAACAGTAAAGCTACCATTAACAAATTAATGTTGCTTAAGACTACATTTTATGTTATAAATTTCCTGTTGGTATTAAGGACAAAGTTTAATAATTCCGTCGAATTACTAAATATAAGAGTTATTGGAACCCAAATATGACAAGAATCACTACAGCACAATTGTTACTTTTAGAAGGTTCATTAGAACACAGATATTACTAGTTGTAAAAGTCATGACTATTGACATAAAATCACTCTTCGTCAAATTTCCACAAACGATTCTTATTCGAGAATACCGTTTCTTTGTTAAAATCACGCTATATATAATTCATGATTATAATTGTTGATATACGCGGTATTGTAATTTCTGTCTATTTTCCAAGTTTTTTATAAATTGCTTGATGTTGTTTGTTATTAAGCACAAAGCTACACAAAAGGCTATGTTGTTACAAACAAGAGAAATACATTTTTTTCATACTTCATAAAACAAAGAGATTAATGATACGTTCTTGTATCTGTAGCACGTGTATGTGCCAGCAAATTAGTGTTCAGGAAATTTATTCAAAGAATATTTTTCTTTTCTTAATTATTTTAATTAAATTGCAATATTCAAGCAACACTAACTAGATGAATATTTGGTTTGAGGGATTCAATATCAAAACTAGACAGATTCGTCATTTTTTTATATATTTTGGAGCATTGAAAATATAATTTGTTTAAAAAAAGTTTGAAATTTTAACTAATACATTTATTTGAATTAAAAAAAGTGTCGATATTAGGCGTAATCGGTTTAAATACGACAAACAATTTTACGCACTGTAAGCATTACAATTTCTTAATTTTTAATGAGTGTTTCTATAACTTGCCATCACACTGCGTAATCGGATCGTGAATAAAAACTTTCTTTGTTCAACAAAACAATTTGAAACTTTTGAATGTAATATTGCTTATTTATTGTACACTTACATTTGTCCCGTTCCACGATAAGTTCGACTGTTTGTTGTAAAGCACAAAGCAACACAATGGACTCTCTGTGCTGTGCTCATCACGACTATCGAAACCCGGTTTTGTGCGGCGTTAGCTCGCAGACGTACCGCTGAGCCACTGAGGGCCCACGATAAGCTTATGGGCTTATAATGCTAAAATCTGGGATTCGAACCGTATAGGGGGAACATGCAGGTTGCCCATTAGGTAGCTTTATGCTTATATAAACTATTACCTCTATCCGGTTTAATAATACTTTGATGTTACACTGAATTTAAGTTTTATAAATTTTAATAAAATTCAGACAAACTTTTAGTTCATGCCACATATGAACTTGGAATAAGAAAACAAAAGCCTCATAGCCCAAACGTTTTCGTTTTTATTTCGCGATTTATATATATATTTCTGATCATATATACATGCTTTATTAGTATATGTTTGATGGTTTGTTTGTTATTAGGTGAAAGCTTTACAATGGGCTATCAGTGATGTGCCCATCGTAAATATAAAAACCCGATTTTTAGCGTTATAAGCCCTCAGACTTACCGCTAGGCCATCGAGTAGCTTTTAGCACTAGAAAACTTGAAATAAAAACACCAAAAATTTCATTTATGTTTACATTTCCTTCATCAAATTAATTTATAATTACAGTTTTAATAACAGATATTATTAATAATTCTGGAACTAAAGGTGATGGTTGGAATTGGCTAAAGTGAATATTCACTAGAATTGGTGGTTATAATGACACAAAGTAATTATAAACTAAAAATAATAACTGGATCAAGTCTCGAAATCATTAATGCCATTCAATTAATGAAGGGACTTTCAACCATGAAGAAAAAATGCAAATAAATTCAGTCTTTTGTGCTAGAATAAAAATCAGTTTACTTAACATGAGAATAAAGATATAGAAATACACATATGCTTATATTAATAAATGTAGTGAAGAACAAGAAATTTTCCAAATAACTTTAGATAACAAAAAAAGTAAGGGTCCTAGTAATTTTTTTACTTACTTGTGTGTGTATATATATATATATATAATAAAACAAAACAAGGTAATTAGAAACACTCGTTATAAACGTTGTATAATATAAAGTTAAAATACACCAGTTACATATTGTCATGAATTGTAAATAAACAATTTTTAGTTAAGAGCAATATCTTCTTAAACTGTTTAACTAAACACTTTAATAGAATTTTACATAAAAAAGACTATTCTGATATTCTGAAACCATATGAAAAAAAATCATAGAAAATCTACATTTGATACATAATGATTTAATGTCTTGGTCACAGAAAATTGTTAATTAAACTACACTTCTGTTATAAATCTTTTTTTATGAATATTACAGTGGCCACTTGAGACCAGTATAATACCTGTAATGATATTGATGATTTGAATCTTAATTGATATCATTAACTAAAAATATGGATTATGTTATTTTTTGTTTTGCTTTCTACAAAGTATACAGGAACTAGTCAAATACCAAAAACTTGATACCACTACCTAAGTATTATGTAAGTCATTAAAGTATGCGTGTTGTAATACTACAACAGGTGAATTACCTTAGCTGTTTTGAAGAACCTTCACAAATCAGAAAACTGTCCACAATTGTTTTCCAGTGCTGAATGTAGTTCTAATTGCACTTTGGTATCATAAGAATAGGTATCATCAAAATAGGTTAAAACATGTTTATTGCATATGCAGTTCCTATAAAATTTAAGTGTAACATTTTGTAATTGCATAAAATGAAATAAACAATACTCCAAAAATTGGTTTTAAAAAATCATTTTGATGCTATAACATTACATGAAAATTATTTAAAAACTTTACAGTAGAAAATTATTTTGTTAAATTTTAACAACAAATACTCATAGTAGGCATTGCACCTATACATGTATTATTTTTTAAATATTTATTTTTCTCTTCTTTATATTTATACACAATGGACAGACATCATTTTTCCAAGTTATATTATTCTTCTAGTAGAACATGTCAAAATTTTAGAAAATATTGAGTTGTGCTATTTCAAACCATGATAAAAAAATTAAGGACTATTGAATTCATATTGCAAAAGTTGTTTACAAAATTTCCTTGTAAACAATATTTTCAGTATTTGCACCTTCAAGGACAAATTTTTAACCAACTGAATGACCGTACCCTATATAGAGCTACTTAGAACTGACCATGAGAAAACAAACTAGTTCAGCTAAGTGCAACCCGATGCACAGACATCCGTTTTCCCAAACTATATTATTGTAAGATACTTATAAGTAATTTGATATCAGTTAAAATACATTTATATGCAGATAAGCATTAAAAATATTTCTTTATATTTCCCAGACATTTGTAAACACACATACCACAGCTTGTAAGGGAGTCACTTTAGCCTGTTAAGTATAGTGACACAACTATATTTAACATAATGATTCATCTGAAGAAGTAAAAGCTGAAGATACATATGATTCAATATGACCATTCTGCATTAAATTAATTATCATTAAAATAATGGCATATCACCCTTAATATTTCTACTGTTAAAAATTTAACTCGGTGCTACCTAACATAACAGCAAGAAAAGGAGTCTACTTTACAGGTGAAGTGAGAAAGCTCAAGACTTCTGCCAAATTCTGTCCTTACAAATCAATATAGTGAAAATAAATACTTGCAGCATTTGATATGAGTTAATTTAGGTGATTGAAAGAAACTGCCTGTCTGTTTGTAGATTTCAATCTCATTCAGGTTTGGTTCTCATTTATTCAAATTCATTTGTAACATTAAAAAAAAAAAAGATACACCATTCTTGATATTTCTATAGTTGTATACTACATAAAACCGAAACAGCATATTGGCACAATTTGGCATTCTTTTTTTTTATTCACACATATATTAACATTACATGATTTGTCTATGTTTTATACTTCTTTGATAACCTGTGAGAGTCAGTTATCTTTGCTGGATCATACAAACTACTGTATCCAGAATCAGGTAAGCAATGCTTTTACCATTATGTTGGTTTGTTTTCAACATTACAACCACATATATTGCACTCAAAGACATAAGAAAAGATAGAAAATATGCATTGTACAGATTTGTTTCTTTCTATTAATTTGCAATGCTTCAGACATTTGATACACTGGCATTTTAATATATCAGAATTATATGTATTATAATGAATAACTTAGTAAGTCTTTAAAAGCACATTTAAAAGTAAAGCTCTTGAATACCAGCTACTTGATGTAACTATTACTATATATATCAACATGCTGTATATCCACCATCAACTGGAAGAATGGCCCCAGTGATCATATCAGCCTTGTCACTCAGCAGATACAAAACAGGATAAACAACATCCTTTGGTTCTGTCAAATAAAACATTAAATTTTGATTGCAGTGAAAAAAAAAACAATGTTGTGAATAGCACTGCATAGTACTTAAATAACATGAACTCAGTCAAACATAAAAATTAGTATTAATGTGAGATATGATACACAAGTCACTAGCAAAATGATACATTATGAAAGAAAATATTTATACCTTCTGCCCTTTCTTATGTACATACAAGGCACAGTATTGGTTGAAAAGCACTTAACACATTGTGTCAGATAACACTGATAACAATTAATGTCTTTAAGAAATGCAGTCAGTGGTAGTATTAATGACTGTTTGTTTAATAAACAATTATATTCTGATATGTTTTACCATTAATTACAGTATTACCTTATTTATCTTTTAATATTTTATATATTATGGTTTATATTATTCATATCATTTACTCAGTTATTTTTTCTGAGTAACTTTAAATTTTTATATTAATTAAAGCTAGTTAAAAAAAAGGTGAGAATTCATGCCAACTTGTATAGTTTCTTTACAACCATCAAAATCAGGCTTTCCAAAAATTCTACTAATACAAAGTTATCTTTTCATAATCTTGCTTTATATTAAGCTTTCATTTGGAGTGTATATAAAGAATGCACATGGTTAGGGGTTTTCTCCTTTTTATTATTTTTTATGATTCTGTGTTGTTTTGTTTTTAAGTAAACAAGGGAGTATACCAGAGAAAACAAAACCTATTTCTATCCATAGATTCATCTAATTTCTTCAAACCAAACCAACTTCAGATATCTCAAAATACACACACACAAAATGAGGCTTGTATTTATATCAAGAAAAATATGCAAACTTACCACAGAAACGACCCAAAGGCATCTTAGCCTTCATTTCAGCAACTTTCACTGGATCACTCCAGGCAACCTTAGCCATTTCAGTCATCACAACAGTTGGACTGACTGAATTAACCCTAATCTAAAACAGGTAAAAGTATTTTGCTCTCAGTAAATTTGAGAAAAACTGACTTATCAATTTCAGCTGGTTAATTTTTTTAGGGGATCATTTTAGTATATATGATATTTTAAAGCTAAATCCACGTGATAAAATTTACTACACTAAAACACCAGGATATGATCAAGTGATTCTCTGTTATATGAATGTTCTATTATGCAATTAGACTACTTTGGAATGTAGCATATGAACTAATTATATAGACAGTGCTGTCAAGTGTAAAATTTAACAACCATTTCATCATGAAAAAATGAGATAACACTCTGTCAAGACTCTCTTCAGCTACATCACCAGACATCCTCTCAAAATAAAACAAACAAGTAAAACATTTTTTTATATTCATAATATTAAATCTATTGTTTTAAGAACCTTACAAGCATTTTAAATATAAATTTACAAATAAACTGCAGTTTATGAGTTGATGTGTCAGTGATATTTTAGAAACAGAACATTAGGGCACTCTTTTTAACACCTGATAATTCACTTTAACACAGAACAAATGTCACTATCCCTCTATAATTTCACGATCTTTCAAAACTTTCTCATGTATTTTTAGAATTAATAGATCTACTACAGAACATATACAAAAAGAGAAAAACCATTCCAAATACTTGCATAGAAGCTAAAACCAGAATCATTTTAAATAATATATAAAATACTGATATTACCTGATAAGGCCCAAGTTCCAGAGCCATGCAACGAGTGAGTTGATCTAAAGCTCCTTTAGTTGCACAATAAACACAGTGATCCAACAGAGCAACCATTCCTGCCTGACTTGAAATGTTTACTATTGCTCCTCCTCTGCCTTGTTTCTTCATGATCCCACTGACAATCTAACAAAGGATAGGAACATCAGAAATACAGAAGATCTGTGGGTTTTAATAAACGTTTAATTTTTACAAAAACTAAAAGTAAGCAACTCTCATATTGTTTTTAAATTAACTGTAAACAAGTTTTAAACAGGAATAAGCTAAGATTCTAAAGACACACAAATAAGAAGATAACCATTTAAGCTTTCATGAACAATGTGCAAAATCTGGCCAGTCCCTGCACTGACAATACTCCAAAGTGATTATCACAAATGGGCATCATACACAAGTCAGAAAACAAACATGGGCTAAGCATATGTTCATCACATAGGAATTAATACGCTTAATCTCTAGTAAATAAACTTAGTATTATGAACATTTTTTAATCTCCAAGTCTAAGTTCAAGGGCAGTCCAGTTCAATCTACATTTTGATCAACATATGTTACTGGGTTATACTAGTTTTGGAGAGTTCCACTCCTCATCAGTAACCCTGAACACAAGTTAACTAAAGAGAGATAAGCTGGACCTATATCATAGTGAAAAGTATCAAACATACTGTTGGTGTGAACATGCTTTGTAGTCACTATGAAAAAAATTATATTTATGTGAAATTTAGAGGGGATTAGAAAAATATGTTAAGTTGAATTAGGAGAAATATTTAGTTAAATATGATGACTGACACTCATATAAAGCAATAAAGATACTTTGAAATAAAATGTTTGTTAGTAATATGTACAATTATTAAAATATACTTACTACTTTAAGACTATAAATCTTCCTTGCCTAATAAAAATAGGCAAGTTATCATCTGTCTAGAGATGTAAATGCTGATGATGATGTCTTAACCTTACATCTGGTAGTCTTCTGAAATTTTATTATAAAAAACCTTAATGTTACCTAAACAATTATCTGTTCAATCAACTTACATGAAACCACCAGTTATTTAACCAGGTTAAAGCTGACATCATCATCAGATTGACATCTCGAGATGACAGGAAACAGAATAAATACTTTAATTTTAGTGATATTTGTAAAATTGAGATATTAGGCTAGCTAAGTTGCTATTGATTCATGAGGAAAAGCTCCATTAAAGTTGGAAAGAAAATATTAGTGAATAATTGTCGAACATTCAAGATATTTGTTAATTTACAAAATTGCTAAGTTAAAAAAAAAGTGCATTAATAACCATTACAAATAATTAGATAAGTTGATATTAAAAACTAGTCTAGCATTTAAAATTAGAATTTACAGTACCTAAATCTTTGGTATTTACATAAATATGAATAAATAACCACAAAAATAAACTTATTACAGACAATTTTGGAAAAAGATGAATAGGGCTAATCCAAATTACCTAAGGTAACTATGTATTCCACAGCTTTTGGAACATTGTGCCTATGCATCATTGCTTTATGATCAACTGATCTTGCCTTTAATTAAGTAGCATTCCTGGACTCTCTGTTTGTGACCATATACATACAGATACTGCACTAACCACATGTGCAACTAAAACAAAGTACAAGTCTCAAGTGTGCAGAAAAGAAAAGAAGGATCATCAGGTAGTACGTGGCTCCCAACCATTTTTTTTTTAACTCCACTGATCAACAAAATATTTGTAGAAAGCTTATTGTCTTTTGGAAGTTATATAGTACATGACCTATAGACAGAATCTAGCTAGTTTTATACAGGGTTTGAAAAAGATGTTCGAAAGATTTAGAATTTTAAAAATATGAATATTTATATCAGAAGAGCTATACATTCATTAAAGGATGTTTTAGTGGAACAATGGTTGGAAACCACTGATGTAGTAGATTCGAGACATGACTGGTCTCAAACACAATGGACACATATCAACTCAATACTTTATATGCTAGTGTCTGTACAAAGATGATGGGTTTATACGAACAATATAGATTGTGCCCTTGGTATATTTAAAGGTGCACATTAACCTAAATCCTCATGCAAAATAAAAACACCTATTCCTATTTTTGTACTTTTAAGGAGAAGACCTGATTTTACATAACTACATACCTGAGTTACATTGATTACTGCTCTTACATTGACTGAAAATGTCCTGAAATAAATTATAATCAACATGTCAGTGTATGTATTCAGGCAATATAAAATCAAATGGGAATTCAGCAATATGTTCTTTCAAGTAAATAAAAATTAAATTTCATATTATCGATTCTTTATTTATAGTTTTATGTAATTGTGAGCATAAAGGAAAATCTTTTACTTTTCAAAAGGCAATACAACTAAAAGGAAGGGCAATTCTATTATCAATGTGATAAAAACATTGTCTTAATATTCTTTAATTTTTTTCTCTGGAAAACTTAAAATTTTGTGGTCTAATTTTTTTTCTGAAAAGTGTAGTAAATACAGATATGTTTCTTAGGATCAATTAATTTTTATGCCCAATTAAAAAAAGGTGAGAATCATGCCAACTTATACAGTTTCTTTATAACCACTATAATTAGGCTTTACAAAAATTTTACTAATACAAAAATTATCTTTTGATAATCTTGCTTTATATTAAATTTTCATTTGCACTGTGTATAAAAAAAAAATTAAATTTTGCTAACTCTTTAGTTACTCTTAGTACTATATTCCACACATTGCAGGTTTTTGACTTCTGTCTATGTTTTTTAATAGAAAATTAAGATTTTTTTTAATATAAGGATGTGTAGAGCCAGCTCTAGGCAAAATTGTGGCCTATATGAACTTTGTATTTGGTGCCCACCTCCCTGCAGTGTCAATTTTGGCACCCTTTGGGGTGGGTTCCCTGTGCAGGGACACATATCACCCACCCCAAGGGCCAACCCTGAGGATGTGTAACTATATGTCAACTGGCCTGATTAGAGCTGGGCAATTAGGAGAATTTGATAATTTATTAATTATTGAGTTAATTAATCAATTACACTTAACTAATTAATTATTCTCCAATGAGACTAGGAGAGTTGGAAGAAGTGAAAACAGTAATAATTGGAAACACAAATTTTGATTAGTTGATTATTTTTGTGAGTTGTGACACTAATCAATTAATCATGAATTAATCTAAAATAATAATGAAAAATCATAATGGTAAAATTTGAATTACTTGGATTGTTGGAAGAATCAAAAATGGCAATAATTGGAAACACTGATTTTGATCAGTCCATTATTTTCATGACAGTTAATCATAATTTTGATTGATCAGTGATTTCATGCAACACAAATCGAGATAATTACTGCTGATAGGTAATCTATTAATTGCATAGCTCTAGTAATGATTTTACATTTTTTGAAAGAATGTGTCACAAAAGGTTAAAATTCATCAAGATCTAGTTTTTATGATATATCAAGTCCTGGTACCTAAGAAATTCAGGACATAAGTAAGAATTAACCAAGAAAATCAACCTAGTAAATCTGTTTTCTTATATACAAAATACATTTCTTTACTACAGTTACATGTCTACAGCATCAGCAGTGATATCTCCCAGAGACTGGCATTTTGATACTCCAGCATTATTAACCAAAAGGTCCACTGGTCCAATGTTTTTTAATGCTTCTTCAGTAGCTTCCCAATTGGATAAATCCACACAGATAGTTTGGATAGAAGGTACCTTTAACAGTAAAAAAGCCATTATTTGTACATCTATTAGAATAGTTCAGAATATTGAGAGGAAATTCAGAATAAATGATGAAGTGCTTTGTAATTTACTAAGAAAACTACCTTTATAAAATGAATTTTTGTAATATTTGTGGAGTTTCTTGATGGGTAGTAACAAGCTCTTGTAGTGACAGATGACAAATAGAAGTTATCAAAATGAATCAGTTTTTGCTATTATAGGCTGTTGCAACCTGTAAAGAAGCTTATCAGTGATTAGAGATACACAGCACAAACCTTCATTAAAGAACATTTTTATCTTTTGTTTTATGGTTTTATCCTTTCATAAATATACATCACTATTCAAATCTCTGTTCTAAATATTCAAAAATTTAAAATGTCAGCATGTTTCTAATGCCTTTACTGATGGTTAGGCTTTAAGTTCTATAATAGACTGCATGATTGCAAAAAAAATAAATTAATAACCTATTTCAAGATAATCTTACTTCAGATTTTAAGACTTCCAGGTGGGCTTTAGTCTTACTCACAGCTATCACTTCTGCTTGACATTCCACAAGTTTTTGAGTTATAGCTCGACCAATTCCTGACAAGTAATACAAACGATTCCTATATTTTAAGAAGCAGACTAATTTTTTAATCAAATACATGTACCACTGCAATGAATCTTCCAAGAAAATATAGCTTATAAAAATGACAATTGTACTAACATTATCTAAATAAGTATATTTGTATTTGTACTGCTACAAGCAATAGTCAAATTAATTTTCATGAAAAAGTAGCTTAACATTTTTCTAGTTTTCATATTAGCATGGATTATTAAAGAGTCAAAACAGCTAGAAACAAGATTCAGAAAAAAGAACAAAATACCACAACATTTCATCATGTTGACATGGCATCAATTGTGATTAGATTATTTAACATAGATCACAGTGATATACAAACTCTTTCAAGGATGAACTTGACATTTCATGTAAGTCACTAGCAGACTAAAACCAATTTCCATATTATAATATGTACATAAAGTAAACATTAGAATTTTATTATATACAAGTAAATTATGTAGGTAAAACTATTTGCAAAATGAATAATGTTATATTATTATAGTTTAGGAGGTGATCACTTTTGGCATACAGTAAGTTTTTTATGGTATTAATGAATCAATTAAACTGATTTAATTTTCAGTTCAACAGTAAAAATAAACTACAGGTAACTGCTGCATAATTTATATATGAATTTCTTTTTCTCACTGACTTATAAATTTTAGTGAAGAAAAGAAAGAATCCATGAATGATTTAGAAGCATAATTTATTAATAAATTTGCTACTTCCTCTGCAGCAGACTATAGTTTTTGCCAAATCACAGCTCTTCAGTACCACTTCGGAGGGCAAACCAAAGAGGTACAATATGTTTCCATATCATAGAGGATTGCAAACAATTTGTGGAATTTTATGTAAGGGACTTTACGTCAAATCTTACAAATCACTGTATAACTCATCAATCGGTCTACTTTGAAAATGATCTATGATTTGTGTTTATTACAGATACAGGTTTTTGTTTCTTTTGAACTGATGAAAATGAACATATATATGAATGATATACATACCACTGAATAGTATGTGTATTTGGTAATCGCTATTTTACTTATAATATGTTTTTATGTGACAAAATGTGTATTTATAAGGATACTTATTTTATCAGGAGCACTGTTTAGTGACACATACCTTGGCCTGCTCCAGTAACAAGTGCTTTCTTTCCAAGAAATGAAATTTCCATCTTATCTGTAGATATATTTTATTATGTTACAGTCAGACCACCTTCTGCTGAATGAAATAGTGCAATAAAATGCAGTCAATGAAGTAAATCTGTAAGCTCACATACAAAGTTTACAATATATATATAAAATGAACAGCCAAATTTACATGTGTACCATAAACTTTCAAAAGGGAAACATCCAAATATGTTTTCTTTATTTACATAAATATTGTCATTTGTATATAAAACTTACATGTATAAGAACAATTAATTAAAAGCACTAATTTTATATTCATGCTGTCTGCCAGTAATTATCAAAAGCATAAAGTATATAGACCTAATGTAACACGCCAGAGTTGACCAACTGGGTGGTGATCGTGCATAAAAACAAATATTCTCAGGTGTAACTTAGGGCAAGCAATAAGTGCAAGGTTAATATTTATCATGTGTACTTTTATGTAAAATTATAAAAAGAGAGCTGGTGATAATGTGAGAATCTTAGAAAATGAGCTAACTTACATCTTGAATAACTGGTTATATAGTAAACTAGCAAAGGTACCCTGAAATGCTGGGCTTAAAAACCAATGTAATAAATAATGTAGCATCATGCCTTCTCTTATTTTGAGCAGCAACACACAAACCACTCACATGATGCAAAGGTATCCATATTATATGTGGCATTAAACATCACCTTCGTTTGACATTGGCTTCATGGAGTTTGCTACTGACCTTATTACTCAGTTTAACCTTCATTTGTATTTGTGACACTGATTAAACCAGTTGTCGGATTGCTTATACATTTTAGATTTGACCTTTGGAAGGTCCATCCGAGTTCTGCCAAATTTCATCAAAATTGATTTAGTCAGTTCCTCACAACTTGTGATATCAGAGAAATATACAACTCTGCTCTATGTATATTTATATGTGTGTTACTAGATACAGTAATATGGTTGTTGTAATTAAGTCTCTTGTTGGCACCTACTTTGTGCAGAGTACAAAAAATAATAAGAAATTGCTGCAACTTAGAAGATGCTTAAACATTCTAAGTTAACTGTAAACATTTATGGCTTATATGTCTTTATCATAACAGGTAACACTTACAGGACTAAAGGTATACGAATTATTTAGGGTGGTTGTAATGTATAAAGCGTAACCCTGAGATTTAAAAAAAACTTTTCAATGAAGCCTACAAACAACTGTTTTTTTCCAAATAATTTTTATCAATAGATTTACATATTTTACATATATCAAAACAATTAGATTGACATGATTAAACCTACAGTTATCAACTGTAAGTTCAATTATTTCAATCTCATGCACAATATTATTCTTACCTTATTTAGGACAATCACAAAGTGGGTCTAACTTTATAAAATCACGTGCTTTTTAAGTTACTCGTGTAGACCAATTACGAAAACATTCACTACAGAGACGAGAGTAGAATTTAAATCAATACAATGTATATATATATATATATATTTAACAAACCAAGAGCAACAAATTTATTATTTTTTTATTATATAACTCTTGTAAGTCTTTCGTGACATTACTTTTGGGATGTTGTTTATCATATCAATTTGGTTAATGGCTTATGAGTTATTGATTTCAGAGGATACATTACATTACAGAGCTATCGGATAGGTCCACAAAATAACTTAAGAGATTCTCTGAAGATACCGATTACAGAGTAAAACTAAAACTCTTACTTGACTGATTCGATGTTAAAACAAATCAACCTGACTGTACACAAAAGTAGAACGAAATGCACAAACTTTATTTTAACAATGAAACACTGAGTGTACTCGAACTTCTTACTTACAACGGATGTCGCATTTACTGGATTACAGAACTTATTAGATGCTATGTTTCTTAGTTTCCAAACGACTATGCATTTACCCAGAGTAACATGTGTTATCCATATGACTGGCCATTCTCACTACTGTCTCTAAATATCACCTGAACAACCGTTAAAGGGCAATACTATTGACATTTTTACACAACGTTGTATTAAGAAATGTTATTTCCAGGTTGTATCAGTGTATGTATTGTTATAGCAAAGCCACATCGGGCTATCTGCTGTGTCCACTGAGGGGATTCGAACCCCTGATTTTAGTGTTGTAAATTCAAAGACTTGCCGTTGTCCCAATGGGAGACTGGTATCAGGTATTACCTACTTCGAGATCAACAAAAGTAATTTGAAATAAGATCGGCTTAATTTTCTTAACCACGTGTTAAGTGAAACCTGCAAATATTCAGAATAAGGATTAAGCTCAGAATAAATATCTAATGGTACAATAAGATAGAAATGTATGGTAGACTCAGTAAAACATTTCTTGTTTTCCCTATCTCAAGCTTGTCGCAAGCCAACAATTAATTTTAATTTCAAACAATAAATTTTAAATTTTCACGCTAGTTGAGAATTGCGTAAACACTTTCTGGCTTCCAAAAATACTTACACATCACATAAATGTGAAAAAGATACAAATATAAAGTACAAACATATCCTTAAACAATGAGTGCAATACATGATTATAAACTCTTTATCTAAAGAAAAATGCATTATATAATAATACATATAAACATAAACCCTTGAAGAAAGGAAAATGCAAAATTGAGCTTTTGACATAGAATATTACAAAATTTTAAAACATACCCTTTAACACCGATTTCACAAAAATAGCTAAAACATAAACCCATAAACAAAGGAAGTGCAAAATGAACCTTTTAACATGGAATAATACATAATTTAAAAAGTCTTTAACAAAGAAAAACGAAGTTTAAATATTTTAACAATAATAATCTACCCCTTTAGGAGGGGATAGCTAATATTATATGCATAAAACAAAATCCTGATAAATAAAGAATAATCAAAAGGCTAAACAGACAGCTCTAAAATAATGATACTCAAGTTGCAACTAGATCTTAATTAATCTATTACTAAAAATTAAGATCTCATTACTCACACTTTAGGAAAAGAACTACCCATAAAACATATGAGACAAAATACAAAGTAGACTTTTTAATAATGATGATTAAACTGCGCAACACTGAAACAAATGAAAAATGCAGTGGTACCTATATATCTACAGCATCTAATAAATCACTAAAAGAAATTAGAATATACAATATTTACATTCACTCAATTGCAAACAGGAAGTTCTGTCCCCTGCCTACACTATTTCAGGCCTGTTAGCAGATCCTCTAGGGCGACTGTTGTTTTTCCATTGGCCAAATTTCCCCCTTGATGGTGTTCTAAGCTTTGCCTTTTAGTGTCTAACAGTCAGCATGCACGTCTTTCTCTTCTAACCACGATGAAGTTGTTGCTCTCTGCTGCAGCTAGTGTTCCTGCTATTGTATAGGGCCCAGGCTTCAGCCCACTTTTCGGCCATTTCTTGACAATGCTGCTTCAATAAAAGGACCTTATGGAGTGTATGGTGGTCTGTTTTTGGCTTCAAGATGTAATGATGCCACTAGAGGTAAGCACACACATATATTGCTGTGTTATCTTGGTGATCTGACATTCCCCAATGAGGCATTGTATTAGTGGCTCCTGATACTGAGACATCCACCATTTCTATTTCTTTTCAGTGGTTGTGATTGTTAGCAATGGTGATTGGGTTGCTGGGGGGATGATATGGAGATATAGATTGGCTTATTCATTGACAGTTCCACCATTCTGTATGGTAAGGGCTGGGATGAAGGAGTATATATTTTCCTCAACCAAAGCACCTTAGCCTCTGGAGACTTCAACTCCAGCTAAACAATTTTTCTTGGCAAGGTTCTAAAAGTCCAGTGCATAAACCAGCAACACATTTTGATCCATGAGCTCGACTGAATGGAAGGTTAGGCCAGCTACAGACATCCTTGGCTCAGCCTAGAAGTCCAAGTTTTCACCAAACCAAAAGTCCCCATCATCATATCAATCATCCAGCGGAATTCTTGGAGATTGCAGTTCAAAAATGTGAAACAAAAATCATAAAAGCACTGGTTAAGATGAGATAGTCAAATTAATCCAGAACTTGACCTTAAATGTCAAAGGTCAGTATTAAAAATGTAAGGTTGATGAAATCCAATTGGTGTAGGTTGAAAGAGGTTCTTAACCTCTTAGTTATTATTATTACCCTCTCCTAAAACCTTAAGTATTACATGGCACTGATACACTAGACATTGTTCATAGCAAATCACAGAACACCACTTGTTTACATGAGTATATTGTGATTTCCTCTCCAATATATACTTTCTCAGGCCACTGTCCCCTAAGTCTATCTAGTTAACATTGGATAACTCTATTATAGAACTTGAAGTCACCTATTGCACAGGCAAACTGACTGATAAGCTCTGCAGAGCACTTATTCTAAGAATTCTGATGCCAGGACCGAGGTCAGCAACAACTACCTTTATTTTATTAGCAATCCTTCCTAGACATAGTCTGAGCATGAACTCTCCATTCACTTCTAGTTTATCTATATTCACCAGAATACAATTTGTGTAGATTGACCTGAGTGGTGGTTTTGCTTGGAACACCTGATATGCTGTGAAGTTTTCTATTGTTCTGGCCATTCCTGCCTCAAGTAGGATCTCTATCTCTTGCTCTTTTAGTCTGACAGTCATGTACCAAGATTAAAAAGCCAAGAATGTTTGTCTGACCACTACGCATTTCATTACAAGCTTTTAACTGTACTCCCTCAAGTCAGGGGTTAGTTCTGACCTCGGATCCTCTAGTTTCTTGGAGCTACAGCAGCAGTATTGTTGGCTCTTCTACATCTGTTGCACCAACAGTCAAAATTGATTCTATTGTCTACTTTGCTCCTTAGCAAGGTTGTTGCAGATCATTCAAATTGACTCAATACTCCATAGTTAAAGCATGATTTTACTCTTCCTTTCGTGGATCACGTTTAGATAGAGACCGTATGTGTTATGGTATTTAAGCCATGGGAGGACTGAACTACATCACTGCTGTGGCTACATCACAACATTGGCATGTATGTGTTGACGACTGAGTTTTAAGCTGGTACAAGTGAGTATCTGGATAAGATGGTCTGTCGAAGGTGAAGTAACTGCAGCTGCTGCTACAGGCTTCTTCTGCTTCTGGGACTGACTTGAAACTATTACTTCATATCGCGAAACTATTTCTTCAGTAAGAGATTGAAGATTAGAATGTTTCTTACATTCAAGTGTTGCTACATCATCTTGCTGGGTTGCACATCCATAAAATTATTTACAAAGGTATTCTTACAATATGTCATGAGTGACATAGTCTAAGCTTTTCTGTGCAAATGATGTAGATAATTTGCATAAGCAGTAAAGTTTTTAGTGGATTCAGTCTTTAGAGCTCCCAGTTAAGCTCGATGGATTTCTCTATTTCCACTGTGTCAAACCTACAGCACAAATCAGTAATGACTATCTCGCATTTCCAGAATTGTTCTTCATTCAAATGGTCAATGGAGTATAGAGCCAAATCTTCTATACTCAGAACAAGGCATTGAACATATGTTCCATCTTCCAGCCACAGACAATTATCTGGCTGAAACATTTTTTGGGAATGTTCCAAGTTTTTCACTACTCTACCCTTTAATGTGGGCAGAGTGATCTGCTTTGCCTTGGACATGCAGACCTGTGATCATGGGTATAAACTCTCATCTCCTGACAAGATGTCCTTTTAATAGCACATACTAACACAAGCACACAGTGTAGTAGAATGTTAACAGACAAAAATAGGATGAAAATAAACTCACTTGTGATTGAATAGTTTTATATATATTGCTACATGTTAATTCTTTCCTGTGCTATTATGTAGTGATGATGCAAATATCATCCTTAATATCATGTTTGCATTGTTTTTGAAGGATTGATTTTTGCCATTCCTACATTTACTTCCATTTTTGAGAAGGTTTTTCTTTATTTGTACACTACAATAGCCTTCAATACGATATCATAGTTCTTACAAAATCAGTAATGTACAATGAGATACAAAGCAGTATAATAAGTACCCCTTTTATAGGAGATAAAAAGTTACAATATGCATATTAAAGTCGTAGAATACAAAATAAAACAACCAATTTAAGAAAGTCAAAATTAATACCGATTAAGAATATAAAAATAAACCCTTTAAAAATTAAGTTCAGAAAAACACAATACAGCACTCTTTAAATGCTGTAGTTCACAATAAATAAAATAATCAAAAATACAAAAATACACAATTTTACAAACTCATAAAAAGGAAGATTTAAGTTTAGTACAAAGCTCAATATAAGACAACAATACATAATGAAAACACCCTATGATGAAATTCTTCAAACTACAATACAGTATAATACTATATTAAACACCACTAAATAACAAACAATGAATATCATATTTACACCACAAAATACCTTATCAAGACTCCTTCTAAAACAATTTATGAATCAATGG